AATTTGTTATTGTTCATTTCTTGTTTGAAATGTGGTTTTTCGTCAGGTGTATACAGTTGTAGATGAGATCAACTGCAGCCTGTATGTTGTGCTTTAGCAGCTTTGTGCATGGGATGAAGAGAAAAGGACGAACCCAGCAAAAGGATTGTGTTTGTTTAATTGTTGCATCATTTTTGTTCATACATAAACAGTTCATCTTCTGGTACATCATGATGTCACCATTTGAAACATTTCTGCCTTGTGGATGGCCATGCTTGAGACTGTTTACCTGCTTAGTTTCTGCTGGTTTATTGGGATGTTTGGTGACTCTATGAATGGTTGATATTGTATTTGCCTTTCAGATACTAGAACTTTGCTTTTAAACTTCCCAGTTTCAAGAATACATTGAAAATGGCATTGGTCAACTCATCCAGGCTGTTGAGCATCAACCTGAAAAGTGTGGTTGCCCCAGTCACTAGGTGCAACTCATGGTGGAGCAATGTTGAAATGGGACCACCGGACGCGATTTTGGGTGTAACAGAGGCGTTCAAGAGAGACACCAACCCAAAGAAAATCAACCTGGGTGTGGGGGCATACAGAGATGACAATGGGAAGCCCTTCGTCCTGCCTAGCGTTCGTGTGGCCGAACAGCAGATCGTGGCCGCGGAGATGGACAAGGAGTACGCCGGCATCACAGGGCTGCCCGAGTTCTGCGCACACGCGGCGAACCTGGCGCTCGGCGAGGGTAACCGATGGGTGCAGGACGACCTGAACGTGACTGCGCAGTGCATCTCGGGCACCGGCTCGCTGCGAGTAGGCGCTGCCTTCTTTTCCAAGTTCTTCACAGGCCCGAAAGTCGTGTGGCTGCCGACGCCGACGTGGGGCAACCACATCCCCATCTTCAAGCACGCCGGCATGGACGTCAAGCACTACCGCTACTACGACCCGAGCACGTGCGGCTTCGACTTCGAGGGCGCGCTTCAGGACATCGCCAAGATGCCCGAGCGCTCGCTCATCATGCTGCACGCGTGCGCGCACAACCCGACGGGCGTCGACCCCAAGCCCGAGCAGTGGAAGGAGATGTCGAGCCTTACTCAAGAAGAAGAACATTTTCCCGTACTTCGACATGGCGTACCAGGGCTTCGCGTCCGGCGACACGGAGCGGGACGCCGCTACGCCGTGCGCCAGTTCTCGAGGACGGCCACTGCATCGCGCCTCTCGCAGTCCTTCGCCAAGAACATGGGGCTGTACGGCGAGCGTGCCGGCGCCTTCAACATGATCTGCGCTGACAAGGAGGAGGCGGCACGCGTCATGTCGCAGGTGAAGATCCTGATCCGGCCCATGTACTCGAACCCGCCCGTCCACGGACGCGCGCATCGTCTGCAAGATCCTGGGCTCGCCGGAGCTGAAGAAGCAGTGGCTCGGCGACGTCAAGCTCATGGCCGACCGCATCATCGCCATGCGCACCAAGCTCCGCGAAGGACTGGCGCGCGAGGGCAGCACGCGCAACTGGCAGCAACATCACCGACCAGATCGGCAATGTTCTGCTTCACGGCATGAAGCCTGACCAAGTCGAGCGGCTGACCAAGGAGTTCAGCGTGTACCTGACCAAGGACGGCCGCATCTCAGTGGCCGGCCGTCTGCTCCAACAACGTCGACTATCTGGCGCACGCCATGCACATGGTCACTAAGTAGGACCCGGTCGGCGCCCCGCACTAGACTGGTGTAGATGTTGTGCCGGGATGCGGAGTCGCGATGACGGCGGCATGCGACTCATGGCAGTTCTGGGGCCCCGTTTCTCATCCTTGTAGCAGCCAGCGCAAAGCGTGATGCTCGTAACTGGCTGGGAATCGGAAATCGTTTGTTACGCTCTAACAGTGCTCGATGTCATCTTGAGAAGTGAATGAGAAGTGTTTTAAGAATCATGGGTTTGATTTATTTCGTTTCTAACAGCATTTTTTCCGGGGGATTGGTGATCTGTATTGTGCAGGGAGTCCATTTTGGATATTTTCATGCTGGCGCGCTATTCTTCCAATCTGAGTCGGAGCCATTATCGTCCACTGCCAGTCTGTAGTGGAGCGGATTTCGCAGACGAATACAGGTTTTTCTCGCTGTACTGATTTCCTCTCTTGAAAGAAATGACAGCGGCTGCCTGAAGCGTATGTCTGAGAGGACGTCGACACGGGAGCGTCCGGCCGGCGTCCGCACCAGAAGGTTCTTGATCACGTGCCTGACAGTATGCTCCGCGTTGACTTTGGAATCACAGCCTCTGATAGCCTAGTCCGATGTGACACAGTAAAAACGCTTTCTTGAGGCAGCACAAACCGCAGCAACTTTCCATACAAATCCTGTCGTATCCCAATGTGCAGGATGAGGGAAACATGCGACATGTGGGTATCGGGAGGAAGGCGCTTTTTAGTTACTCTTTCGGCACATCCACAGGCATGAAAAGTTCCAAGATGAACACCCTTAACCCCTGACCTATGGGGGTGAGATTTTATCGTCCCACATCAAACACAAGCTTTTGATCAGTTTATCCATTTGTGCGCCAAAACAGCTGTCTCGGTCGTTTTCCCACCGGGATCTGGCAATGTCCATATACATCGTATTGCATCACTGCTTTGCTAGTCAATCACGTCGCTTCGGTCAATCACACGACCTTGCTTATAACTAACCCAACTAGACAAGACAGTAGTTTAAGCCTTAGTCTTCAGAAAAAAAACGGGAGAATGGATATACCGTTGGGTTGATATTTCGGCAGCATGCCTTTAGTGAAACAATTGCAGAAGTGAATTCCGCCGCAGGGCACATAAGTAAAAATGCAGAAGGGAATTCACTTCTGCTATTGTTTCGATAAAGGCATGTTGCCGAGTATGAACCTGACTATAACTCCATTCTCTTGTTTTTTTCGAGGAATAAGGCTAATACTACTGCCTTATCTATGTGAATAGCGTTCCTCGCTCATGCACTGAACAGCTCACGTAACTAACCTAACTAACCTAATAGTGCAAAATGGCCTCCACGCCGACGCGCCACCGCCTTACAGCGACCGAGTACAAACTGAACTTATGCCATTAGGAGTAAGTACCACTGTGTATTTGGAACAGGACATCCCCGGCCTAACGCGTGCATTGTTTTACCGAACAGCGGCAGGTTCATTTCACCCAGTGACGCCACGTGAGGCCCCCGAAAGGGCGCGCCTCGTTTTCGGGAGCGGTCGGTGGTATGTCTGCGTTCTCGTGGCTCGTCTATTGATAGCCCACGCTCGACGCGAGCGAGGTCGGCGGGGTTCGCCCGCCAGACGCACGCCTGAAAAAACTTGGAGCCGGCGGCGAGCGGATGAGAGAACAAACACTCGACAGATGTGTGATCACTGTACGATAGTAAGCTTTAAGGCTAGTACGCGGTGCTGTAGCGGCAAGGACATTGCTTCACTGACGCGTTTGAGAGCTTGCCGTTCATGGGCGGTGCGGCTTATTTTGTGCGAGCCATGATAGGCTCAAAAAAGTCACCGAGGCGTTGGACACCAAATAAAAAAACGACACATTGCTGAAGCCCAATTAAAGGGCTTAAAGGAAAAAGCAACGCTAAAGAATTTGTGTGGCCGGTTGAACTAATCGGCTGTGTTCTTTGAATACATCCTATCATTCATCGACGGCGAAGAGCGCTCACCGCGCCGAACACCGAAGAACCAAGAGGAGGGAGCACTGCGTAGTAGTCCAATTCCAATGAGCGCGTACACAAGCGCGGGGGGTGAGGGGACACGTTCGAGTCGCTCCGTGTCCCCCGACCTTCACGGGCTGGGGCCATCGTCTTCATTCAACTCCGGTGCTTGCCGCCTCGCTATGGTGTTGACGACAGCCCTGGCGTCTCTCTGGGGTCGTTGCTTTGGCCGCCGCTGCACCTGCTCAGCGCCGCGGCTGAGTTGCAGTGCTGGTTTTCAGGAGTCGAGGCAGGGTTGTAGGTCTGGGACAGCCGGTCTGGTCGACCTGTGCTCGCACCGCTGTTGCATCTAAGTACACTTGCAACTGCGCAGCACCAGCCGCCGCAGCGTAGCAGATGTCCAGTAGGGCCGCCCCGTAGCATGCTGTCTATGCCAGCATCGTCCAGCAGTCCACTATCCGGAAGCAGGCATCCTGGATGACTGACAGAAGTCAGGTTTTCTGTCAGAGCAGGTCACTACTGCGGCCTGACCAGTGATGGCGGTCGTTTAGTCCGGCGTTTTAGGTCACCTCTGTTCGTAAAGAAATACGCAGACACTTTTCTGTTATTGCTTCCAAATGATATGGCACATGTTCTCCGCTGACGCGCTCATTTGCGACGCGTTTGCTACCATTCGGCTCAGGGAAGTCTGGCATGTTTGTTGGAAAAGAATGCCCGCACACGAAATAAGAGCGGTCCTTTTCTGGTGTTAAGCTTTCATCGGTCTGTTCGGTTACTTTTCTTCGATTCTGGTTGAGGTGAGACCCAGGTCATGTGTTGCGCGCCGCTGATAGACCCAAGCCTCTGACCCGCGGGCTGCGCTTATGAGTTGACTCAAGCTTACAAGACGTGAGCCGCTTGTGTAATGAAATTAAAAATTGCGAGCTTTATTAGCGAGTGGTACTGAGTGCATCCCAGAACGAATGCATTGTTTGGCCCAACTGGCATGGTTAATTAAGCTTGAAACTAGGCAGTATTACAGTGGTTCTAGTTACATCTAGTTACTTGCCATTCATTGATGTCCTAACAGCTTGTTTTTATTAGGTTGTCTGTTTATGTTAACCAGAAATATAGTATAGGTCAGTGATGGCTAGTTAATTTTCTACTCATCCCTGGATTATTCACACAGATAAGACAGTAGTAACAGCCTTATTCCTAGGATACAAAACAGTAGAATGGAAATATAGATGGGTTGATATTTTGGGAACATGCCTGTATTGAAACAATGGCAGAAGATTGTCTTGATCTGATTTATTTATGTTATTGCATCAAAACAATGGCAGAACAAATTTCTGCTATGATTTTGATGATGGCAGGTTGCTGAAATATCAACCCATCTATATCTCCGCGCTTCTGGTTGTTCATCGAGGAATCACACTATTACTACTGTCTTATCTGTTACACCTGTGTTGTGCATCAAGATAGCTGTTTTCAATACAATGTATGCATAGCTTATACACGTTTTGACACCCAAGCACAACTTACTCTACGACTCCAACACTAATGTTACCAGCATTGCCATTCTGTGGGAAGTCCCAGGACACGACGCACAACAGTAGCATGTCCGGATGTGGTTCCCTTTTCAGTTAGGGAGGTTCCAGCCCCCCCTCTGAAAAAATTGTGCTCCATCCCCCAACTTTGAAAAGAAAGAAAGGGAGGTCAAATTTGGATTGAAAGACATTGTTGGCCTATTTTGAGGGCAATATGTGTTATTTTTGGCTGTTCAGCCCCCTCCCCATAAGACATTTTGTTAACCTATGCCTGTGGTTTCACTGGTAGTATGCTGCAAATAAAAAAAAAACAGTTAGGAGAAATAGCATAACCCAGTGTGGTCACCATTTTTTCATTCCTTAGTACCATTGCTGTCATCCGGACCCAGACTCCCCATGAACGTGAAATGGTTAAGCAAGCGTACATGGCGGTTGTTTTATTTAAATATGCACCATGCCTGATGGGCAGTAGGCCTTGGAGAAGAGGCCGGAATATTTTTGTTGAAGTGATTTGATTAGCCATCCTCATTGCTCTGTTGTTAGAACGTTAGCCACAGGGTAATGTGTGGCCAGCTTGTTGGCTCGCGTATAATACCGTGCCTGGCTGGTTCAGATATGGCGGTCGATTTGCAACTAGTCAAGAGAGCAGGCTGAAGCAGGGCAAGTCCTGCCACGGCACTAACATTTCGGCCGAAATTTTCTGCTCAGCTGGAATTACTGTACTGGAGGGGTGCAGACAGCGTCTTCGTAACAAGGAATGCCTAGTAAGGACTGTAAGCACAGCCATCCCTCTAAAACATTTGATCAAAGCCCCAAAACAGTGATGCTGTTTGTCCCAGTGGTACTGCTGTAACAGAGGAGATAAAGCTGTACCACAGCCAACGCCACCAAGTTTGAGGTGCTTAACAGACATGTTGTGACCTGACCAGCATACTAAGGCCGACATAATAACATTTTAATGACGGTCTGGAATCTTTCGTAACCTCATGACCGTCCCGGTACAAATACCCAACTGGTCATCCTCAAAAACAATTAGCACCTGGTGACGGTCAGAGAACTAACGCCTTGCCTCAATTGCTCCCGAAAACAAATGCGTGTTCTGGTCTTGTATAGTTAAATCAGATCATAAAAAACGATTTGGTTTCACTAACGAACGTTGCGCACTAAATTCGGCTGCGGTTTTGGCCTCGGGTTTTTAACTGATGGGTTGGGCTTTGGCTTCATTTCTCTAGATTTGAAAGGAGTGGCTTTGGATTTGGCTTCACGTTGTAAAAATACGAAACCACGGGCATTGTTTGATTTCTTAACCTCACAGTTAAAGTCTTGCTCTTCGACATAGAATTTCCAAACCTCAAAGCCACTGGCTTCGGCATTTATTTCATATTTATGTTGTATAGATAAGTCAATAGTAATAGCCTATTCCTGGGAGCAAAACCAGGAGAATGGATATATAGCTGGTTTGGTATTTCGGCAGCATGCCCTTATCGAAACAATAGCAGAAGTCCTGCTATTATTTCGATAAAGACATGTTGCCGAAATGTCAACCCAACCATATCTCCATTCCCCTTTTTTCTCCGGGGAATAAGGCTATTACTACTGTCTCATCTTTGTGAATAATGTTCGTCGCTAATGCACTGAACAATTTATTTCATCGTCTTGTTTTCGAATTAGGCGTCGAAGCCCGAGGCATCGCCGCTCCCATGCCCGATCCGTATAAACAATATCTATGTGAATGTCACCCACTTGTTAAGGGGAGTGGACTGACATGGTCGCGATCTTAAATTCACGTAGGCATTATATTTTTGCCCATCCAACGAATGGCGTAACTATGAGAAGAGAGAAGACCTCTCGGTGCTGGTGGCATTCGTCCACCAGCTTCTCTCCGCTCCACCGCCGCCTTGGATAACCAAGACTGTCGTTTTCGTCGTGGTGACTGAAGCCGTGGACTGACATCGGCGCCAAGACGCACAGCGTCAGCGATGCGCCAGGCCACGGCCGGACCGCTTGAGGCCCCCGGCCGTGTCCGGCGGGCGGGTGGGCGGCTGGGCGGCCGGCCGGCCAGCGAGGCGCTAACGGTCGCTATGGCCCCTGTTGCAGGGATGCTGGGCCGGCTGCTGGCGCCGCTGCGGGCCGCGCTGGTCGCCGGCGCGCCCACCCGCCCGCTGAGCGGCGCTCTGCCGCTAGCCGCCCGCTCGCTGAGCGGCGCCCTGCCGCCCGCCGCCCGGCCGGCGGCGCGGCTGTCCGCCGTGCTGGGCCGCCTCCTGACGCCGACCCCGGTGCCGACCCCTGCCGACTGCCGTGCCATCTCGCTGGAGACGCTGCACAAGCGCCTGCAGAACCGCAAGCCGTACGTGAAGAAGCGGCCGCTGGACGGCAACCCGCAGATGAAGGGCGTCGTACTCAAGACGCTCATCAAGAAGCCGAAGAAGCCGAACTCGGCCAACCGGCGCTGCTGCCTGGTGCGGCTCAGCAACGGCAAGGAGATGGTGGCGTACATCCCCGGGGAGGGCCACAACCTGCAGGAGCACAACATCGTGCTGGTGCGCGTGGGGCGGCTCCGGGACGTGCCCGGCGTCAAGATCAAATGCATCCGCGGCAAGTATGACCTCTCGCACGTGGTGAAGAAGACACCGACGTAGTGCCGGTGGCGCGGAGAGGCGAGCAGGCCGGCGCGCGTGCGGGTGTGGGTGGAGTGATGCCAGACGGGGCGGTGTAGCAGTGGTGTGTGATTGCGTGCCCGCTGGTTGGGAGCAGGCTTGACCCTGCGTGGAAATCGTAGATTAACTCTGTGCTGAGCTGTCGTGAGATTGCCTCTGGGTTAAGAAATATGTGGGAACGTGCGAGCAAAAGGGCTGATGTTCGACGGTGCAGATATGGAGCGGAGTTCCGTGTGTGTGTTATCCCACAAGTGTGGTATCTGAGAGCGACGTGTTTTCATTAATAAAACGCGTTCTGACGGACGCACATACCATGCGAACGAGAGGTTTGAAACGGGAAAGCAGACATGACAACTATTATCCATGCCTTTAGTTAGCATGGAAGACCTTGAGTTTTCAAATCGCGAACAAGTTGGAAGAGACCGGTAAAACCAGATCCAGGCCGGGTCAGACGGATAAAACCAGATTCAGTGTGGTGTACACCAGTGTCATGCCAGTCCCATGGTGCAGTCACCGCCTCACAGCAGTCGCAGCGGACACCGCCCTGCGATCGCCATGGCGAGACGGGAATGTCCCGTGTGGAAAGCTCCATTTCACACGGCTAGGTGGACATGAACCGTGACAAGCGTGCCCACGACCTTCCGCTCACTTCAGCTGTGCAGACGTCAAGCTCTCTCCTTCACTTGCGTATGGCCTTCCGTGTTATCCATGTTCTGTCGCCCTGGGTGTGGTCTTTTGAAGACGTTTTGCATTCGCGGTCACTTACGTATTGTATCGCAGGTGGCCACGACCTCTACTAGATATGTGCCATTATTTGATGAGGGTGTTCAACCCGTGTCACTGAGTCAGGTTATACGTTCCAGTTTGTTGCATCTGCTGTCAGGCCTAAAGTATCGGTACCCTTGCCTACCTTACAAATCTGTAGTTTGGTCGCAGTGAACACTGTCTCGAATTTAGGCGTTGGGAATGATGTTTTGAAATTTTACGTAGTTTCTGCTCCGGACTTTGTTATTTGTTATTATACCTGGATTTTTGCAATATTGAAATATGGAGATATGACAATCCAAAAATTTGTCCTTAAAGCGGTTGGATGATGACGTGTTCATGTTCTGATGCACCTGGCTGGCTCCAAGAGGCCCCCAGGCGCCGTCTGTCCCTGCTGCGCTGCTGGCGTCAGGCGCCACTCACTCTTCGCCCCCGTTCCAGATGGGTCATGTGGCGCCACAGTGAAATTCAGCGTCAGGTGCTGGCGCTGTACCGGCAGTGTCTGCGCGCCGCGCGCGACAAACCCGGCGCCCCCGAGGCGGTGCGCCGCGAGTTCCGGCGGCACGCGGCCATCCCACGCCGCGAGACGCTGCGCATCGAGTTCCTGCTGCGCCAGGGTCGCCGCAAGCTGCAGATGCTTCAGGACCCGCACGTGTCCCAGATGGGCCAGTTCAAGAACGACCAGTGAGACTGCGCACCGGCACGTGGCGCGGCGAACTCGGGGCGCCGACGGCCACCGACCTGCTGACGGCCTGAGGTCCACCGATCTGACCTGACCTAACCTGGGACGGCACCGGACGCGGTGCGGTCCCGCCCGTCCTGCTCTATCTCCCGCCGCCGCCGCCGCATCATGAGCCGCCTAGTGCGCGCGCGCCACCTGGGCCTGGTGTCGTACGCAGCCGGCCTAGCGGCGCAGCAGGCGGCGCTGGCGGCGCACGGCGCGGCGCTGGCCGCCGGCGCGCCACCGCCCCACCAGCTGCTGCTGCTGGAGCATGCGCCCGTGTACACGGTGGGGCGGCGCCAGCGCGACACCGGGCGCCGCCGAGGAGCGCCGCCTGCGGGCTCTGGGCGCCGAATTTGTGCGCGCCGGGCGCGGCGGCCTCACCACCTTCCACGGGCCTGGGCAGCTGGTTGTGTACCCGCTGCTCAACCTGGCGCGGCTCGGTGTCAGCGGGCCCCGGCGGTGAGCGCCGGCGGGGACTGGGGGGGGGGGGGGGGGGGGGGGGAGGGGGCAGGCGCGATGAGCGTCGGAGGAACGGACCAAGTGTGCGAGGTTTTTTATGTGATGAATTAGTAGAACGAGTGTGTCTGCCATTACATCATTGTAACTGTGGCCACAAGCCTTCATTTCTTATGATGCTCTTTAATGAAACAAGCATTTGGCTGGATAGCATGTGGGGACGAGTAATCATAGGCTAGGATTGGTAGCATTGAGCATGATAGGTGACTGCAGAAGGGAAAGACGCAATGGTTAATTTCTTGAACAAGACGTCCAAAATGGCGAGGGCAATATGCGCCACCGCGTGGGTTTACAATCAGGATTTACTGGCGATGGCGATCAGTTCGTTTACATTGGCCCCCCAACAAATACATTTTTGAAGAGGACTCGTGATGTGGTGTCCCCTCAACGCTTTGAACTCCTGCGTGTTACCCTCCCCACCAGCTGGCATACGGCAGTCCGTGTACGTGCGTCGGGCTGCTGATGGCGCCATCTGCATGATTTAGCGCGATAGTGCCGCCCCCTACACGGTCGTATTTGACAGTGGCGCTGTCTGGGGCAGGTACGTGCACCTGCTGGAGGAGGTCGTGATCGAGGCCTGCGGTCGGATGGGCGTCGCCGCCGGCACCTCACCCCACACCGGCGTCTGGGTCGGAGATAACAAGATATGCGCCATGGGTAAGGCGGGCGTGACTGGGTCACGGCCGGGCGGGGAGTCGGCAGGGTAATAACTTCCTGAGAAGTGCCAGCTTTCACGCACGAAGCGTGCGCGCATGTGTCATGGGGGAGGTGACACATTCTGTCTAATAGGAGGTACGGTAGATTTTTAGGATAAGAGTAGATTTGTCTGTTGTTTGTATTCATTGCCGTCACATCGTTACACGATGTTATAATAATAATATTCGCACTTACACTGGAAGGGGCACGCCTAGAGCATGACACGACTCGCGCGACTGCTTAGCTGGTCGCGTGTTGTGCTTCTGTCCAGTTGCTAACATAATGAGCGAACAGATGCTGCGCTGCGGAACTCGACAGACACGTTAGCGTTACGTTCTTGATCCACCATAAGAGCGCTGTGCTATAAGCTCCGGAACGTGCGCTGGTTTTTCCGTAAGGTCAGTAGTATCGTGTTTCATTATCTGCCGGTAACCCAAACGGCGATACTGGAGCTGTGTCTTATGTCGTGACGTCTAGAAGACATTGGTTCGCTTTGAGGGACTCGTGACGTCGTTGGATACCTGGATACCTGCGTGCGTCGCAGGCGTCCACTTCACGCGGCGAGTGCTGACATCTCACGGCCTGGCGCTGAACTGCTGCGTGGACCTCGACTGGTTCCGCCACATCGTGCCCTGCGGCATCGAGGACAAGTTCGTGACGTCACTGACGGCCGAGCTGGGTCGGCGCGTGTCCGTGAACGAGGCCACGAGCCACGTGGTGGACGTCCTGGCGGAGCTGCTGAACTGCGAGATCGTTTGGGACGACTCCTGACGGCCACTGGCAACGCTAGAAAGGAAACGATCCGTAGAATCTGGCTGATCAGGGAGCCTCGGTGTAGCGATGTGGACGCCCTTTGGCCAGACGTTGTAGACTGGAGGCTGATAGCGTGCGTGGCTGTAGTAGCGGACTAGTCAGAAGTTGACGCTCTTAGCGGGTGTAGCCGCGTAATGGTCAACAGTTGGCGCCCTAAGCAGTTGTAAGCCCGTCTGATGTGGCAAGTGCAGCTGCCGCCGCAAGTTAATTAGACCACGGGGACCGGAGTAGCCACAGGCTATGGATGGCGCTTGAGGCGAGCATGTGTTTTTTTGTGTCAGCAAGGCATGAACGTCATTTTACCGGGTGGGTTTGTGCAGGTCACGAGCGCTGTCACTTATTTCCCGGATGCTCCGCCGTTATGTTCAAGCAGACAATACAGATAATAACCGAGCCAACCATTCTCGCCACTAGGTATGAAGGAAGCACATCGTGATACCGAATATAAGGAGTGGATAGTAGGATAATGCTTCGACGATTTTATATGAGTAATAATGTTTTGTGTGCGGATATCGTTCGCACGTGCGCCGTCAATTACCGAACGCATCGCATCCGCATCCAAGACACACCACGTGGCTAGCCGTGGTTAGCAGAGCTCCGTCAAATTATAGCGAGCTTCCATTCAACGAACCGGCCTAGCTGGCAAAGCTCCCATACCGATGTCCCCCAGTCGGCAAAGCTCCCATGCCGTATACCATTCTTGCAACACGGGCGTTCTGTTCGGTTCGACCCCCTCCCGGGCTATTCCGGAATACCTCTGAGGGAGACACCCATTCTCGGGCCTTCCCCTGACGCAAGAGGCCCTCTGGCCGGGGCAGCTATCCCAGAATCGACGCAGGGGCATTCACGGACGCAAACGGATGCTCACCGGCAAGGCATCCAATAACTGGCACATCAACCCCAATTTGGCCTATCGGGTCCCGGATCAAAACGAGGTGGGGCCCCCCACATTCGCTACTAAGGCCCCTTGACTGGCACAGGGCCCTTCCTTTGTCTCGTTGCTGGTCTTTTCATTGGCGTTGCTCATATCGCCTTTTGCTTTCAGGGGCCCAGACCGACGGCAAGAGTCCCTGACATTGGGGTGCCGTCTCTGTCCCGGTTCAACAAAGGAACCCCTGACCGATCCGGGGCACTTTGCCAAGACAGGATTTGCCGTTCGGCGCTGTGGGACGTGCCTCCCCTGACCGACACAGGCTCCATTGTCTCAGGGACCTCAACCACATGGTGCAGGCGTTCTAATAGTCATTAACGGGCCTCAGCTTTGTCCGTGCTCGGGAATGGGCTTTCAGGCTGACAAGGGTGGAGTATTCGGTACTGGTAATCTGTGGACGACATAGGAATCCACTTTGTCCCATTGGAGAACGTTACGAGCGGTCCTTTGTCTTATGCCGGGCCGTTACCCGTCGGCCTCCAGGGGCCTTCCGGACCAAACGGGCTTGTCGAGTCTCCCTGTGTCCCGCTGCCTACGTCCGTACTAGGAGTTTGTTCCGTTCCTCATTTCCAATGGAACTCCACAAGTTCAGTGTATTACAAGTGTTTGCTTGCTCACGGGAGATGTAACGCTCATAATTTTGCAAAACCGCGCCACACCAATGCGAGGTATCAAACACGTACGTGAGTAAATTGAAATCAGTGGTCAATTTTCTACATGCATTGAAACAGTTGCGCCGTTTTTGTAACACTCAAAAATACGTTTTCTTACCAGCTTTGGGCGCCACCCCGATGGGCGCCGACACGGATGGCCTTGGTAGCGGATGGTAGGGCTTCGACGGGCAGTGCAAGTGCTGGTAGGTTTTCGTTTTCCGGATTTTCTATATTATTCACGTCTTTTGGGAATTTCGTCCTTTTTGTATCGATGAACTGCTGTCAAGGGGGGGGGGGGTGTTTACCCAGTGAATCGGCATCTGCGAATTAATGTAAGGTGGATGCTGAAAACCTGCAAGCTGTTTTCAATGCGTATGATGACGCTGCAATTCCAGATCTTGTTTGTTCTCATGACGTTGTAAAAACTGTGAAGCTAGGCTGTGTGGTGAATGGAACTGCAAGTTATGTGAGAGTTCAATTTAATTTGGTCATTTATTAAAAAGGACTGGGTTGATTGATCATGATGTTTACATTGGATGGCAGTGCCTTTTGGTCATATTGGTACCCAGCTAGTGTGCAAGAAAATAATTTCCTTTTGTGGAAGCTTACACAACTTTTCAATTCACAGTTTGCTGAACCTGGAGTATGACTGCTGTACTCAGGCTAGGCCAAATTGAGTGGAGTGTTTTCTTAGTAGCTTTGCTTTACTTGAAAAACCATCTCCATGTACTGAGATGGGCATCAGATGGTGACCTGCAGCAAACCCATACTCTCATATTTACAGTGTGCATGCACTTGAATAGTTAATGGAATTGTTGCTGCCATGCCAGATATATTGACTTGAGCTTAACAGAGCCATTATATATATATATATATATATATATATATATATATATATGTGACACGAGTTCAGCTATTCCATGTGGTGGCTTGTTGGAAACAAAATTTATAATTGCTGGACTGGCATGCCCTCTCTGTATGAAGTTTTCTAAATCAGCTGCGGATTTAATGAGCCAAATAGTTCAAAGTGCAAATTGGTGCAGCTGGTTTGATAATATGCTTCTGGTCCAATATGATGTGATGTGATATCATTAGACCAGGTAGAGTGTTAACCACTGGGGGCCTGGGTAACCAGAGGTACAGGATGTGATTCCCTGCGGCACCTGCCCTTCCTGCCAGGGTGAAACGCAGGCAACGCCATATAGCCTCAGCAGCTGAGTGCATGATAAAGCCCCAATGACACACATTGGACCAGGTACACATCAACAATGATATGATACATCAATTAACAGACACATGTACAGCATATATACAGCATATATTCAGCATATATGCAGGGCAAGGCCAGCCCAACACCAGCACCTGTCTGGGCACCTGGTGCCGGTGGACCTGTCATCACAGAGGCTTCCTCTGTCTAGGCCTTCATACTAAGGGCTAAACCTCTGTTTGTTTAATTAGCTAGGTTTCCAGGGTGCCCACCATTGGAGCACTAGGGGTGCATGCTTGTTCAGGGAAGGCAGGACTGTCATACCGGTTCTTTATTCCACAGGTGCTAGAACTCAACACAGGTGCTGTTTGAAGAAAAAGTGTATCTAGTTTGCTGCAGTGCCAAAAGGAAGACATTCCTCTGCATTCCTATCACAAATAGTCAGTTTTTGTAGCTCATATATAACTTGGGTATCCACCACGTACCTTAACGCCGTCCTCTCATTGCAACCAAGCGATCCCACGCGTTGCACAGAGATCATCACCACCTCTTCATTGTACTGTGCCTAAACCCATCCAAAGAAACGAAGTGACCTAAACCCAGCCAAAGCAACAAAGTACACCAGTGCCACGCGAAGCTCGCCAAGTTTACCGCCGTCCTTCCCCTCCACCCCCGGCACAGCGTTGTTCCCCTGAGCGTGCGGCCGCCCCATGCCCAGCCTGAGGTCTGGCCAGCGTTCGCGGCACCTCCACGCCCGACCCGCCGGCGACCTGACCATCGCCGACAGCGCCAACGCACGCCAGCCGGTGGCGCGCCTGCGCAAGTCGCACGGCAGTGCCATGTCGGGCGCCGCCACCGTGCCCGACAGCTGGGAGGACACGGCCGAGGAGCCGCCCGACGACGAGCCGCTGCCGATGGTAGGCGGCGGCGGCCGGCGCGCGCCCGCCGCCGGCCGCCGCTACCCTGCCGAACTCTGGTACCTGATCGGCCGGCACGTGGCACCTGAGGACGTGGCGCGCTTCGCCGCCGTCTGTCGGGACGCGTACCGCGCCACGCTGACCTGGCCGTTTTGGCAGCGGCTGTACATGCGCCACTGCGCGCCGCCAGCGCCGATGGCGGCGCCCGACTGGCTGCAGCAGCGGCGCGGCTGCCGCGCCGCCGTCGTGCGCGCCCTGCACCGGCTGCACGCGCCGCTGCGTGCGCAGCGCCGGCGCGCCGACGACGGCACCGACACGCGCCACCTGGTGGGCGCGCGCTGTGTCAACCTAGGTCGCGCGCTGGCCGGCGGCGACTACTGGCTCTACTGCTTCGTGTTCCGCCGGACGACGGGTCACTATCACCGGCGCCTGGCGCCGCCGGCCCGCCGCGACGTTCGCGCCGCGCGCGAGGACCTGTTCGAGAACCCGGACGAGGGCACTACCGGCCTGCTGGTGAAGGCGCACGGCACCAGCCAGCTGCCGGCCGTGTTCGGCGAGGTGGTGCACAGCGTCACCGTCACCATGACAACGGGCATGCAGCAGAAGATGAGCATCGTGTTCACGCAGACGGGCTACCGCGAGGGCGGCAGCCGCGCGCCGGCCGCCTACCAGAACCGCTCGCTGGTGCTGGCGCCGGTGAAGACGTTTCGCCTCGTGCACTGGTGGGACGAGGAGTTCCACGAGGTGTTCCACCGGCGTATGATCGCTGGCAAGGACGCCGTGTCGAGCTGATGGCGCCGGCGCTAGCCTGTCAGGCCGGCGCAGATCGCCGTCCGCGGTCTGGTCAGTACGTGATGTGTGGTGTGATGACCGGCGACGAGGCGGAGGGGAGGGGGGGGGGGGGGTGGCGTGTGTCACGTGCTTAATGTTGTCGCCAACTCTGGCGCACCAGTTGTCATCGCGTCGTGCTTCCATGTGGAGTAACCGCACTACAGTGAATTTTCTCGGCCTGGTTCCCCGCTCTGTAGATTCTCGTTCTTACGGTGTAATTCCTACTAAGCATTTCTTTGACTTTTCCTGCATTTGTTCGTCCTCCACGAAACCGATGAACGAGTTGTGGTGTCCGCGTATTTATAGTATGTAGTGGATCGTGAACTGCTCATCATTCATGTGATCAATGCGCAGCAGCAACTCTTCGTACATTGCAGGGTTCAAGCATAACCAATTTGCATTGCGAGTGAACTTGTTCTTGGTTATGCTCTAGTGGAATCGATTTCGACTCCGTCCCAGCGTATTGCTGATTCTGACTCCAAGACGAACAGCGCAGTTAATTTTGATTCAATCACGATTCCTAGGTAGGTGGATATGGCTCAGTTATAGGACTAATTCTGGGACGATGGTAATTGAAATGAATTGTGTGTGGGCTACACGACAGCCACATACTGTTATGAGGCAATTAGGCAGCTGGACATTTAGTGTTCGATCTGCTGTACGGTTAGCAATGCCGAAAAGCGATGCCCTTGTGTCACTTGCGCACATGTAGATCCGGGTCAAGTCAGAGCTGATGTCAGCGATTGCAACCGAAAACTCGCGATCCCGACTCGGTGGGAGTGAAATCACCTTCACTCGGCAGGAAGCGGATTTTTCGCGGTTAACTCCTATTCGAGCGGC